AGCTCCGGGTTAGCTCACACGGCTCTATTCACTGTCTGACTGTCACACAAGCAGCTGATACATATCCCCAGTTCCCCTTAAGTGAATGTGTGTCAGTCTGAATTGACGCTGTTTGGCATCACAACGCTGTTATGAAAGTTTCTCTGGTATAACATGGGTGATGTTAGCATAGCAACCGAAGCTAAACTGACTACTTGCTAAGCCGTTTTCTACAGGCACTTTTTACCGACGTATTTTTCATTATGATTCTACTTGTGATAGTCGGACATGACAACCTGTGCAGCCCATGTATTAATTCCATCCGATAGCTGCTATAATAAAACAAAACGTCTGCCTGCTCTCCACAATGATCAATCCAACCCAGTCTCACGGCATTTCGTGTTATTAGTCACGAAATTAATGTAATCTATTGATTCGTGTTCACCAACATGATTTTCACATTTTTTTCGTGTCACAGAGAACGATTTTAAAAGCAATGTATTTCTATTGGTAGTATGTTTCATGCCTGCAACACGTCTTTTTGTCCGGTCGGGTCTTGGAAGACCAGAAGCTGTGTGGTTCATAAAAACATTTTCTTACTCAATATCTTACCCTAAGCCTAACCCTATCCCTTTTATTTTAAATTGTATAATGTCTGTATTTTATGTCATCTTTTTTTCCTTCTAATTTGTTATTATTTGGTGCAGGCACGAAACATACTACCAATAGAAATACATTGCTTCTAAAATCGTTCTGTGTCAGAATACTGAAATCTGTATTTTTTACAATCTGTTTTTCCTTCTAATTTGTTATTATTTACATTGCTTTTAAAATCGTTCTGTGTGACACGGAAAAAATGGCGAAATCGTATTGGTGAACACGAATCAATAGATAAATTTCGTGACTATAACACGAAATGCCGTGAGACTGTGTTGATCAATAACAGCGAACGGATGGTCAGAGTAAGGTACAAATAAACAGAATCACACGAAGCCTGGTTAGTGTTGCCTGACTTTATAAAGTGTGTTTCTTTATAAAGTGTGTGGTTGCCTTCTAGTCACTTTGCTCAGCGCTACTGCTTGTAGGCAGGCATGACGAGACTCTTCAGTCGACCCATGTTCAGGGGAGGTGGGTTTAGTTTCCTGCACGCCTCCACGTAAGAGAGACGTAAGCGACGCCGCCTCCTAGCTCCGGAGTCTTGCTTCTAGACCAACCATTTTTTGGAGCTGGAAACGAACTGGATTCCGGAGCTAAGAGGCGGAGCTAAGAGGCGGAGCTAAGAGGCGTGAAGAGGAAAAAACGGTACTTTTCAGGCTCTAGCTCCGAGCCGGCCCTGAAAACGCGTTGGTGTGAAAGGGGCATGTGTGTAGGCATGGTCCTATTCCTAGTTCTGGCTCTAGTCATAGTTCTAGTTCCAGTTCTGGTTCTGGCCCTGGTTGTGGATCTGGTTCTGGTTGTGGATCTGGTTGTGAACAGTGGTGTACCTCAGGGACACGGACTGGATCTTGTTGATCTCGATCTTCCTCTTCAGAACCTCCTGGATCTGGCCTTTATCCGGACCCTGCTTCACCTTCTCTCGACCAATCAGGTACAGGAACTTAGGGGTCAGGATGAGGTCCCGCTTCACCGTCTGAACAGAAGCAGAGTATTATAAAGGAAGTCTGAAACGTAAAGCCTTTGTTTCTTTCTGGCCCTCCGGAGTCCTGACCCTGAATCTGCGGTCGAACTTCACCACCACGTCGGCGAAGTCGATCCTCTCTCTGCGGCCGACGAACTGCCGGATCTCGGGGTGGTTGTCGGTGCCGAGGTAGTCGCCCACGAAGTTCCTGTTGATGCTGTTCCTGCGGCGCTCCTTCTTGTTTAGCAGCACGTCGGAGGCTGGAGGAAACAGAGGTCTGTGAGTGGAGAGGAGGGGCTAGAGGAAACAGAGGTCTGTGAGTGGAGAGGAGGGGCTAGAGGAAACAGAGGTCTGTGAGTGGAGAGGAGGGGCTAGAGGAAACAGAGGTCTGTGAGTGGAGAGGAGGGGCTAGAGGAAACAGAGGTCTGTTAGTGGAGAGGAGGGGCTAGAGGAAAACAGAGGTCTGTGAGTGGAGAGGAGGGGCTAGAGGAAACAGAGGTCTGTGAGTGGAGAGGAGGGGCTAGAGGAAACAGAGGTCTGTTAGTGGAGAGGGAGGGGCTAGAGGAAACAGAGGTCTGTGAGTGGAGAGGAGGGGCTAGAGGAAACAGAGGTCTGTTAGTGGAGAGGAGGGGCTAGAGGAAACAGAGGTCTGTGAGTGGAGAGGAGGGGCTAGAGGAAACAGAGGTCTGTTAGTGGAGAGGAGGGGCTAGAGGAAACAGAGGTCTGTTAGTGGAGAGGAGGGGCTAGAGGAAACAGAGGTCTGTGAGTGGAGAGGAGGGGCTAGAGGAAACAGAGGTCTGTAGTGGAGAGGAGGGGCTAGAGGAAACAGAGGTCTGTGAGTGGAGAGGAGGGGCTAGAGGAAACAGAGGTCTGTTAGTGGAGAGGAGGGGCTAGAGGAAACAGAGGTCTGTTAGTGGAGAGGAGGGGCTAGAGGAAACAGAGGTCTGTTAGTGGAGAGGAGGGGCTAGAGGAAACAGAGGTCTGTTAGTGGAGAGGAGGGGCTAGAGGAAACAGAGGTCTGTGAGTGGAGAGGAGGGGCTAGAGGAAACAGAGGTCTGTTAGTGGAGAGGAGGGGCTAGAGGAAACAGAGGTCTGTTAGTGGAGAGGAAGGGGCTAGAGGAAACAGAGGTCTGTTAGTGGAGAGGAGGGGCTAGAGGAAACAGAGGTCTGTGAGTGGAGAGGAGGGGCTAGAGGAAACAGAGGTCTGTGAGTGGAGAGGAGGACGTGACGGAGAGACCCTGAACCCCAAAGAACACCTCTTACCTTCCTCCCTCATCTTCACGTACTTCCGGACAGCGATGTGTTTACGCCAGGCCTTCTGGATGACCCGAGCGTAACCGTTATACTTCCTCTCCCTCATCTCCTCCAACAGGAAGAGCTGCACATAGGAACACATCAGAAACACCCTCTGGGAACTACAATACCCACAATGCCTCTGTACCAGGAACAGAACTACTGGTGACTTCTACAGTTCTGCCCCGTTGGACCCCCCAGAGCGCTCTGTTCCCAGATCTATCCACCTTTGGACCCTTTGCGGGGTCTGTTTCTACGTTTCCGTTACGGCGTCGTCGAGCTTAGAGGGCTATACGCATGAGAAATATGCGGATTCAACCCGTTTTCGTCCCCGTGGAGCCTAGGCCTTAGTCTGAAACAAGAGGAACATCTCCTCTGACACAGCTGGAGAGTCACAGAGTACATTTACTCAAACACTCATGTACAAAAGGTGACAAACAAAGAAGGATGCGTCAGGCTACAGGTTGGTTTAGAGTGTACTCTTCTCAAATCCATGGTGAGTTCATATGAACAGGTTTCATGAACATTTACTCAGCTCCGCAGATCTGAGACTTTCTTCATATTAAAGACGCGCATTTTCATCGACTTTGAAAAAGAGTCTCGATGAAGCGACTTCAGATTCATGTCAGTGATTAAAACACCGAGGTGACACTGCGTCATGGGGAGTGGGCGTGGTTAAAGCAGGAAACCGACAGATGCGTCAAGGTTAACAGAAAACCACTTCCTGTGTGTGTGTGTGTGTGTGTGTGTGGTGGTTGTGTGTGTGGTGTTGTTTGTGTGTGTCGTGTGTGGTGTGTGTGGTGTGTGTGTGTGTTTGTGTGTGTGTGTGTGTGTGTGTGGTGTGTAGTGTGTGTTGTGGGATGTGTGTGTGTGTGTGTGTTGTGTTGGTGTGTGTGTGTGTGTGTGTTGTGTGTGTGTGTGTGTGTGTGTGTGTGTGTGTGTGTGTGTGTGTCGTACCGACTCCGGGGCCTTGATGAACACCTTGCTCTTGCCCAGCTGGAACTGGTCCTGGTCCATGTGGACGGAGCTGAGGAGGTGCAGGACCCCCTGCCGCTGGTCTCCGCTCCAGCGGGGCCACGACTCCTTGGTGAGGATGGCGTACCTGCAGGAAACAGACCAATCAGCACCAGGACCCTCATAGTCAGAGAGAGAGACACATCCTTTACTCAAGTAAAAGTAAAGAGGCTTTGAAATGTACTTCAGTAAAAAGTACCCATAACTAGCAGCTGTTTTAAAGAGTACCTGACCTCCCTTTATATGAATAGAACAATAATGTCATTGTTAGCTAATGAATGTTTCCATGCTGAACAACGGCAACATGACAACGTTTTCATTGGTCCCTCTTCTTTAGAGAAGACCAGGAAATGATGGATACACGGATCGTGTTCAAATCAATAGGCACGCAATGACTCTAAATAATAATGATCACGCCACCAAACACACATTCAAACTAAAGGAACCAGCCTGTTTGGGAAATGTGAGAAGTAGAAAGTACAGGTATTTGTGTTCAACATGTGAGAAGTAGAAAGTACAGGTATTTGTGTTCAACATGTGAGAAGTAGAAAGTACAGGTATTTGGGTTCAACATGTAAGAAGTAGAAAGTACAGGTATTTGTGTTCAACATGTAAGAAGTAGAAAGTACAGGTATTTGTGTTCAACATGTGAGAAGTAGAAAGTACAGGTATTTGAGTTCAACATGTGAGAAGTAGAAAGTACAGGTATTTGAGTTCAACATGTAAGAAGTAGAAAGTACAGGTATTTGAGTTCAACATGTAAGAAGTAGAAAGTACAGGTATTTGTGTTCAACATGTGAGAAGTAGAAAGTACAGGTATTTGTGTTCAACATGTAAGAAGTAGAAAGTACAGGTATTTGTGTTCAACATGTAAGAAGTAGAAAGTACAGGTATTTGAGTTCAACATGTAAGAAGTAGAAAGTACAGGTATTTGTGTTCAACATGTAAGAAGTAGAAAGTACAGGTATTTGAGTTCAACATGTAAGAAGTAGAAAGTACAGGTATTTGTGTTCAACATGTAAGAAGTAGAAAGTACAGGTATTTGTGTTCAACATGTGAGAAGTAGAAAGTACAGGTATTTGAGTTCAACATGTAAGAAGTAGAAAGTACAGGTATTTGTGTTCAACATGTAAGAAGTAGAAAGTACAGGTATTTGTGTTCAACATGTGAGAAGTAGAAAGTACAGGTATTTGTGTTCAACATGTAAGAAGTAGAAAGTACAGGTATTTGTGTTCAACATGTAAGAAGTAGAAAGTACAGGTATTTGTGTTCAACATGTAAGAAGTAGAAAGTACAGGTATTTGTGTTCAACATGTGAGAAGTAGAAAGTACAGGTATTTGTGTTCAACATGTAAGAAGTAGAAAGTACAGGTATTTGTGTTCAACATGTAAGAAGTAGAAAGTACAGGTATTTGGGTTCAACATGTAAGAAGTAGAAAGTACAGGTATTTGTGTTCAACATGAGAGAAGTAGAAAGTTCAGGTATTTGAGTTCAACATGTAAGAAGTAGAAAGTACAGGTATTTGTGTTCAAAATGTAAGAAGTAGAAAGTACAGGTATTTGTGTTCAAAATGTAAGAAGTAGAAAGTACAGGTATTTGTGTTCAAAGTGTAAGAAGTAGAAAGTACAGGTATTTGTGTTCAACATGTAAGAAGTAGAAAGTACAGGTATTTGTGTTCAAAGTGTAAGAAGTAGAAAGTACAGGTATTTGTGTTCAAAGTGTAAGAAGTAGAAAGTACAGGTATTTGTGTTCAAAATGTAAGAAGTAGAAAGTACAGGTATTTGAGTTCAACATGTAAGAAGGAGAAAGTACAGGTATTTGTGTTCAACATGTAAGAAGTAGAAAGTACAGGTATTTGTGTTCAAAGCGTAAGAAGTAGAAAGTACAGGTATTTGTGTTCAACATGTAAGAAGTAGAAAGTACAGGTATTTGTGTTCAAAGTGTAAGAAGTAGAAAGTACAGGTATTTGTGTTCAAAGTGTAAGAAGTAGAAAGTACAGGTATTTGGGTTCAACATGTAAGAAGTAGAAAGTACAGGTATTTGTGTTCAACATGTAAGAAGTAGAAAGTTCAGGTATTTGTGTTCAACATGTAAGAAGTAGAAAGTACAGGTATTTGTGTTCAACATGTGAGAAGTAGAAAGTACAGGTATTTGGGTTCAACATGTAAGAAGTAGAAAGTACAGGTATTTGTGTTCAACATGTAAGAAGTAGAAAGTACAGGTATTTGGGTTCAACATGTAAGAAGTAGAAAGTACAGGTATTTGGGTTCAACATGTAAGAAGTAGAAAGTTCAGGTATTTGTGTTCAACATGTAAGAAGTAGAAAGTACAGGTATTTGGGTTCAACATGTAAGAAGTAGAAAGTACAGGTATTTGTGTTCAACATGTAAGAAGTAGAAAGTACAGGTATTTGTGTTCAACATGTAAGAAGTAGAAAGTACAGGTATTTGGGTTCAACATGTGAGAAGTAGAAAGTACAGGTATTTGTGTTCAACATGTAAGAAGTAGAAAGTACAGGTATTTGGGTTCAACATGTAAGAAGTAGAAAGTACAGGTATTTGTGTTCAACATGTAAGAAGTAGAAAGTACAGGTATTTGTGTTCAACATGTAAGAAGTAGAAAGTACAGGTATTTGTGTTCAACATGTGAGAAGTAGAAAGTACAGGTATTTGTGTTCAACATGTAAGAAGTAGAAAGTACAGGTATTTGTGTTCAACATGTAAGAAGTAGAAAGTACAGGTATTTGTGTTCAACATGTAAGAAGTAGAAAGTACAGGTATTTGTGTTCAACATGTGAGAAGTAGAAAGTACAGGTATTTGGGTTCAACATGTAAGAAGTAGAAAGTACAGGTATTTGGGTTCAACATGTAAGAAGTAGAAAGTACAGGTATTTGTGTTCAACATGTAAGAAGTAGAAAGTACAGGTATTTGTGTTCAACATGTGAGAAGTAGAAAGTACAGGTATTTGGGTTCAACATGTAAGAAGTAGAAAGTACAGGTATTTGTGTTCAACATGTGAGAAGTAGAAAGTACAGGTATTTGTGTTCAACATGTAAGAAGTAGAAAGTACAGGTATTTGTGTTCAACATGTAAGAAGTAGAAAGTACAGGTATTTGTGTTCAACATGTAAGAAGTAGAAAGTACAGGTATTTGTGTTCAACATGTGAGAAGTAGAAAGTACAGGTATTTGTGTTCAACATGTGAGAAGTAGAAAGTACAGGTATTTGTGTTCAACATGTAAGAAGTAGAAAGTACAGGTATTTGTGTTCAAAGTGTAAGAAGTAGAAAGTACAGGTATTTGTGTTCAAAGTGTAAGAAGTAGAAAGTACAGGTATTTGTGTTCAACATGTAAGAAGTAGAAAGTACAGGTATTTGTGTTCAACATGTAAGAAGTAGAAAGTACAGGTATTTGTGTTCAACATGTAAGAAGTAGAAAGTACAGGTATTTGTGTTCAAAATGTAAGAAGTAGAAAGTACAGGTATTTGTGTTCAACATGTAAGAAGTAGAAAGTACAGGTATTTGGGTTCAACATGTAAGAAGTAGAAAGTACAGGTATTTGTGTTCAAAGTGTAAGAAGTAGAAAGTACAGGTATTTGTGTTCAAAGTGTAAGAAGTAGAAAGTACAGGTATTTGTGTTCAAAATGTAAGAAGTAGAAAGTACAGGTATTTGAGTTCAACATGTAAGAAGTAGAAAGTACAGGTATTTGTGTTCAACATGTAAGAAGTAGAAAGTACAGGTATTTGTGTTCAAAGCGTAAGAAGTAGAAAGTACAGGTATTTGTGTTCAACATGTAAGAAGTAGAAAGTACAGGTATTTGTGTTCAAAGTGTAAGAAGTAGAAAGTACAGGTATTTGTGTTCAAAGTGTAAGAAGTAGAAAGTACAGGTATTTGTGTTCAACATGTAAGAAGTAGAAAGTACAGGTATTTGTGTTCAAAGTGTAAGAAGTAGAAAGTACAGGTATTTGTGTTCAACATGTAAGAAGTAGAAAGTACAGGTATTTGGGTTCAACATGTAAGAAGTAGAAAGTACAGGTATTTGTGTTCAACATGTAAGAAGTAGAAAGTACAGGTATTTGGGTTCAACATGTAAGAAGTAGAAAGTACAGGTATTTGTGTTCAACATGTAAGAAGTAGAAAGTACAGGTATTTGTGTTCAACATGTAAGAAGTAGAAAGTACAGGTATTTGTGTTCAAAGTGTAAGAAGTAGAAAGTACAGGTATTTGTGTTCAAAGTGTAAGAAGTAGAAAGTACAGGTATTTGTGTTCAAAGTGTAAGAAGTAGAAAGTACAGGTATTTGTGTTCAACATGTAAGAAGTAGAAAGTACAGGTATTTGTGTTCAAAGTGTAAGAAGTAGAAAGTACAGGTATTTGTGTTCAACATGTAAGAAGTAGAAAGTACAGGTATTTGTGTTCAAAGTGTAAGAAGTAGAAAGTACAGGTATTTGTGTTCAAAGTGTAAGAAGTAGAAAGTACAGGTATTTGTGTTCAACATGTAAGAAGTAGAAAGTACAGGTATTTGGGTTCAACATGTAAGAAGTAGAAAGTACAGGTATTTGTGTTCAACATGTAAGAAGTAGAAAGTACAGGTATTTGTGTTCAACATGTAAGAAGTCAAAGTAAAAAGTCGTCAGAAAAATAAGTAGTGGAGTAAAGTACTGATACCAGAAACATGTACTGATACCAGAAAGATGTACTTAAGTACAGTAACAAAGTATTTGTACTCCAATACTTCCCACCCCTGCTCATAGTCCACTAAACAAGTCTCAGTCCATCCACTTCTCATTGGTCTATTAGACGCAGGAGAAACAAACGATCTGGAGCTGAGTGAGCCGAGAGGTCGTCACGTCGGGGAGATGTGGATCATCATCAGATAAGAAATACTTTATTGATCCTGTTATATCAATCTTGGACCTAGTCATAGTAACTAGGTATGTTATTAAGTTACAGTTTCCATAGAATCGTCTCTTTGCTAATTATTACGTGAAGTGAGCTGACGCCGAGCTCAGAGGAAATGCAAAGGGGCTACATTTAGATATAATACAGTTAAGTGTTAGTTAATGGAAGAAATGTATGTGCGTTCATGT